GAAAATGCTTAACGTAGCCTATAATAAAACGCGTTGCGTTCATATTCTGGGCTCATCTGCTTTTCTGTAGGCTATATAGTATGCTTTATTAATAAGGTGTGTACAGAATTTGATCTTTTAATATAACAGTTTTAGGACAAAGCCGTTAAGCGTTTTTCACGTTAAGCGTTTTAGAAGCCAGGTATTTTATCCGCGCACACAATTTTAAAAGACTCAAACGGACACAGGCCGAGTGAAAGACTGGATTTTGTTTTTTCGATCAGGTATGGGTACAAGTGATTTCAAAACATTTCACCCGGTTCTAATTTGATTTTTGGATACTGTGAACACGTTTAGCTAAAAAGACTGCCGCTCCAGTTTAGCGTTTATTGTTGTTTCTGCAGTTAAAAAGACAAAGTTGACAATCCTGGCCATACTTTCGTTATTTTAATAATTTCTTTATTTTTTTTTTATTAATTGATCACTCAGGGTGATCTAATTTAACTATTTGTGACTTGTGTTATGAATATTTGTTATATTTGTTTTAGGCATTTTGCACACATTTGTTCTGCTTCTTGTGACTTGACTTATTTCGTTTTGTATTTTTATTTATTATAAATGTATATTGTGTTCTTAATTGTTGATTATTTTTCAGTGCATCGATGTTGCGCTGTAGGCCTACTTAGAGCATGCTCATACAGGCAATTCAGCCGATTTAATTTGCATGTGAAATGCAAATCCTATCTGCAGTGTGGCCTTTCTGCAGCTATTTATGTTATTTCTTAGTTTTATTGATCCAAAATGTTTTTATACATTTTCTTCTATATCTTTGTGTGATGTTCTGTACATCGCGGCTTTAAAATGTTAAAGCCCCGCCCCCTTCCCAACACCACACACATGATTCGACTATTAGTCGACTATAGGCAGGACTTGACGAATCTGATTCGACTATGAAAATCCTTAGTCGGGGACACCCCTACTTGGCACTGATAGTTGGTGAAGTGATTTACCATGGATAATATCATATGCAGGATTGTTTTCAGACTTCACATAATGCCATGCTTGAGAAGCAGTCAGCTCCTGAATTTCTGAAATTCTTGTGCCCACAAACACGTGATATCTGCATGAATCTGATTGGATCCAAGCTAAAACTGTCTTTGAGTCACTCCACAATGTCACTTGTTGAATGTTCAGGGTGAGTTCCTTTTCCAGAAGTCTTGCCCATTGAGCCCCACTGAGTGCTGCACAGAGTTCTAACCTGGGAACAGATAACTGCCGCTTTGGTGCCACCCTTTATCTTGCAACCTCGACTTGGCCTTGAGGACTCTCTGTTTTAAGGTACGCCACTGACCCATAAGTATGATTGGAAGCATCACAGAATACGTGGATGTCTCTTTTGCACACTTCAGAATCCAGTTCTGTGCTGGTGTAGCATCGTGGTATAGAAATCTTGTTCAGGTATTGCAGTTCTTTTTCCAGTTCATGCCAGGCTTGCAAGAGGTCACTTGGTAGCAATGGGTCATCCCACTCCCGTTTGGATTCGGAGAGATTCGGTCCCATTGCTTTTCTGTAAGCCAAAGCTCATTTTTCTCAGATCTGGCTTCTACAGGAAGGTGTGCAACGACAGAAGGAATGTTGCTAGCCCATTGTCTTAACTCAAACCCACCAGAAACTAAACGAGCTTGAAGCTTGTTCACCAGTTCAGTCGCTTTGTCAGTAGAAGTTACACTTTGCAGGAAATTGTTCACATAGAAATGTTTCTCTACAACCACACGTGTGTCTTCTCCTGGAACAGTGTTCTCTTGGACATGTTTTAGGACAGCAAATGTTGCGCAGCATGGGCTTCATGTAGTCCCAAAAGACAAAACCTGCCACTCATAGACACTGACTGGTGTATCACGCTGCATGTTTCTCCACAAGAATCTGAGAAGTGGTTTATCCTCTGTGAGCAGACGAATCTGGTGAAACATGCCCTTCATATCGCTTGTGGTGGCAATCGCATGCTCTCTGAAATGGAGTAACACTCCTTTTAAAGTGGAAGTGAGGGTAGGCCCAGGTAGGAGGTACTCATTGAGGTTATGGCCTTGGTACTGAAAGGAACTGTTGAAAACGAGTTTAGATACTCCCTGCTGTAAAGCAACCCCTGCTGCTCTCTCTAACAACTTCTCTTTCTCTCACACCCCTCACCAGTCTGGGAGGGTGGGGGTACAGGTCTGCTCATTTCTAACAATTGGAAATACTCAACACTCTCTTCTCTATGCAATAACAACTTGTTTGAATATCATGCCATTACACTTACAACCCCCATTAAGATCCATATTGTAGTTAATTATCGCCTCTCCCACAGCCAAAAACCTTCTCTCTTCATTCTCTCTACTAACCGAGGAAGAAGTATCTAAACACCTTGTCTCCAGTCATCCTACCATCTGCCTTCTAGACCCCATCCCCTCACACCTTCTACAAGCCATCTCTCCCACACTTCTACCAGCACTCACACACATCATCAACTCATCAATCCATACTGGCACTTTTCCTACAGCATTCAAGCAGGCTCGGGTAACTCCACTGCTTAAAAAAACAACATTACAACACATCACTTTTAGAGAATTACAGACCTGTGTTGCTTTCAACCAAGTGTCATCTTTCTTGTCTCTGACCAACAAAGGGCTTTCAAAAAGGGCTTTCAACCAAGTCTGCATTACTGTCGGTCACAGAAGCCCCGCGGATTGCAAAAGCTGCTTTCAAATCATCAGTTCTCATTCTCCTGGATCTGTCAGCTGCCTTCGACACTGTGAACCATCAAATCCTTCTGTCTACCCTCTCATCACTGGGCATCACAGGTACTCCTCTCCACTGGTTTGAGTCCTATCTCACAGGTCGATCCTTCAGGGTCGCATGGAGAGGCGAGGTATCCAAAGTACATCAACTGACCACAGGGGTTCCTCAGGGTTCAGTTCTTGGACCGCTCCTCTTCTCCATTTACACCGCATCACTGGGACCCATCATACAGGCACATGGTTTCTCTTACCATTGCTATGCTGATGACACCCAGCTCTACCTCTCATTTCAACCAGATGATCCCACAGTAGCTGCACGTATCTCAACCTGTCTGACGGACATCTCGGAATGGATGAAGGAACATCATCTGCAGCTCAACCTGGCAAAGACTGAGCTTCTCGTCCTCCCTGCCAATCCGTCTCTACAGCATGACTTCACTATCCAGCTAGATTCAACCTCAATCACCCCATCAAGGTCAGTCAGAAATCTTGGAGTAACATTTGATGACCAGCTGACCTTCACAGACCACATTACAAAGATAGCTCGATCATGCAGGTTTGCACTGCACAACATCAGGAAGATAAGGCCTTTCCTAACTGAGCATGCAACACAACTTCTCGTTCAGGCCCTGGTTATCTCTAGGCTTGATTACTGCAATGCTCTTCTGGCTGGACTTCCATCATGTGCAACTAAACCTCTACAAATGATCCAGAACGCTGGAGCTTGTCTTGTCTTCAACGAGCCCAAAAGGGCCCACGTCATGCTCTGTTCATCTTTCTGGACTGGCTACCACTCGCTGCTCGTATCAAGTTCAAGGCATTGACGCTTGCTTACAGATGTACCACAGACTCAGCTCCCTCCTACTTTCACTCGCTCCTACAAGTCTACATCCCTACCAGAAGCCTACGATCGGTAAATGAGCGACGGCTCGTGGTACCATCACAAAGAGCCACAAAATCACTCTCCAGAACATTCTCATTCACGGTACCGTGCTGGTGGAATGATCTCCCCACCCTCATCCGGAATGTAGAATCCCTGACAACATTCAAAAGACAGCTGAAAACTCATCTCTTCCGTGAGCACTTAACCTAAATCATATATATTTTTTTTAATCTTTCTTTTTCCTTTAATCCTCCCTTGTCTGGCTTATGCTACTCTAAGCAGTGCCTGGACTTTGTATTTTGAGCACTTCCTGCGTTGTTTTTGCCTCTTCACGATGACTCGCTTGCTTTAGTCCTCAGTTGTAAGTCGCTTTGGATAAAGGCATCTGCTAAATGACTAAATGTAGCCTATGTAAAAAGTAAATGTAAATTGGGATCATCACGGGGCATCAGTAAGAATGCACACAAAGTCCAATCACTGTTGTTTAATTGTACGTTCAAGCCATCAACATATTAATTGCGGTGCATTAACAGATGAATATGATATTAAGGTTGTGTGTGTGTGTGTGTGTGTGTGTGTTTTTTTCAAAGTTATGCACACTCGTCTATGGCTTGAATACACGCGAGCCCTCCACAGCTTTCAAGCTGAACATAACAAGTTGCGGAAAACTCTGGGGGCGGGACTAAGTAACGACTGTCAATAATTCACAACCCACCAATAATAATTAACTTACTGAACCTTTTCAACACTTGCAGCATAAAACAACTAAACTAGTTAGTATACTTTTATAAACTACAAAATTTGCTACAGGTATTTGACTAGTGAACTATCAGTATACCTAAGTTCACTTGTAGTATAGTTGCAGTAGCCTACAACCGAAAAACTTAGAAACTACTTGTGTAAAACACTTAAAATATACTTAAAAGTATACTTTTATACACTCAAAAGTGGTCCAATTTAGTCCCAAGTAGTATTGAAACAGTACACTTACAAGTTTACTACATTGATATTAGTACACTTAGAAATATATGAATTTTACTAAAGTATACTTAAATGAACTTGAAGTACACTTATTTTTTTGTAAAAAAGACAAAAAATAATAAAAATAATAATTACATACAAAGATGTATTGTATAAGTCCTACTTAAATGGGTCAAAAGACAAACTAATTGCATTTAATATTTTAACTATAATGCATTTTCATTTAATTGCAATTAACATGCAGTGAAGTGTCTAAAAACATTGCATTCAGTTCACACTTAAGTATATAAGAACTCTTTTTAAATGTATGCTAAAGTGTAGGCTACTTTTTTCCCCACAAGACTATTCAAGGAAAATTGAGAAGCAAATCTGTCACAGACCTGAGGTAGACTCCAAGCTGAAGGAAGTGGAGGGGTTTGATCAATATATGCCTGTTAGCAAATTCCTCCACCTTAGTCTCAAGCTTAGTCTCCGGGGAATCTGAGTACCAGACCCAGCTGAACACCTGTAACAATACTGAAGAGCCCAGCAGCAGAAAAATCATCACCGCCATATACACATATGCCCCTTCCTGATAAAATAACACAACAGTCCAAATGTCCAGTGCTATATCCAGCAGGAAAAGTAACAATCCCACCAATGTAAACAGGTATTCCAATAAAGAGTACTTGAAAGGGAAGCTTTCCTCCATGATTGCTCCAGTGTAACAAACCTTTACAGCATGACAAAGTAAATACAACTACCTCATTTTTACGTGGATATATATGCTGTTAAAAAAATCTGAAAGAGAAAGTAAACTTTACACCCAGACATAAACTCCTCCCATGTCATGTTTCTGAATGATTAGTCATGTGTGAGATAGTGAATGAAGTCACTTAAGCATGTGACCAGACTCACACACAATTGATCAAAGTGGGAAGCTAACTTGTGAGCTAGTGTTATGGTGACTTTGAAGACGTAAATAAAATCATACAAATAATATTTAATTAATTAACAGTAATTTTAATAAAACATTAACATTAGAATTTGCAACTCAGTATTTTAGCTTTGAAATGTATGCACAAATTTCACAACCTGGCACTCAACTAATTCATGAGGTTCCAATGATATATTTCAAGACCTGATGTCCATTGTACTTAAAAAAATATTGTGTTCTGCAACTCTATTTGCAAAAATAACTTTGAATATTATAACTTGGTACTATTAAGCTTATAATAGGTGCAAGTTGATGAGGCTACCATGAACATAAATCTTCATATAAAAAGTAAAAAACGGGGCTTCCTCCTTCTCCTGTCTAGTTGATTAGCCATGCCTGTCTTTTGTGATGCCTGAAGCTCATCCAGATTAATTTAGGGGTCATATCTTCATTGATTGGTTGATCAGTGACCAGTCATTGCTCATATTATAAAAACATAAAATTGTATTTGTTTAAACAAAAAAAATCATGTGATGTCCATTCCAATTCAACTTCATTGAAAAGTTTAATATTTTGTGTGTGTGTTAAGAGGTTTATTTTGATGACATTTTTTATGATTTATTATTAACTGTTCATTGCACTCACAAACCCCCTGCCATTCAATCACGAACCTCAATCTGGAAAACCCTGACAGTAATATTTAATCCATGTCATGTTGTTGATAAAGAATGGAATATATTTTCTTTCTTTTTGTATTTTTATACTATTCAAACCAATGTGATAAACGAGTTAGGTCAAAAGTAACCGTAAGTAGTCAGATTATCTAAAATGTCAAATGTAATGGATTACGTTACTAACTACAATTTTTATTATGTTATTTGGAATCAGTAACGGACTACATTTTGAAAGTAATCAACTCAATTAATTGGAGACCAGTCAAAATAAATAAATAAATAAAAATAGAACTGAGACATACTATTATAACCCATGATATATTGTATTCCACATGGCATGACAAAGAGAACACATGTTTGAAAGAGCTAACCAATATCTAAGCTTACAGGTTTGTCACGACATCCAATTCTATTGAAACTACAGCCATACAAACCAAAAACAGGAACTGACCGTAGGGGATATTCACTATTGGATAATGTTACAATACTACAAGAACTTCTACTGTCAGACATTTGTGCTGACAATAATGAGTAATTTACTGTATCGAAAAATATATTGAAAGTGTAGACCATAATCATTAACAGAGCTGTTCAGATCAGTCCATAGTGAAAAATAAGATATAGGACAAGATATATTTTTACAAATTATAATAAAATGAGACCAATAATAGACACAGTTGTGGACACCATTGACTTAAATGGGCAAAAAATACTGATAGCTTTCTCAAAATATATTTTTAATTTCCACAGAGAAAACAGTCATTCAAGTTTGGCATGGCATGAGGACGAGTAATGATAGAATGAATAAGAATCAAAGGTGGTTTCTTTTTTCTTTTTTAGTCTTGCTTCTTAGAGGATTCTTGTTTGATCCCATTGATTGATTCTTAATTATGACAAAAAATTCCATTAGCATTCTGTAAACACTTTTGACAATTTTTGAAAACCTCAATAGATAACAAAACTTATTACAACTGTACACACATATATACATGTACAAAAGATAGAAATAGTTTTGGCAAGTTGACTAAGGATCAGTCTGTGCACATATTTCTATTCTACATCAAAGAAATGAAAGAACATTCACTGAAACCGTAGTTGTGCTTCATGTGAGTACTACAACTTGATTGAAGTAAAAAACAACTTCAATTTGGGTCAGTTCCTCACACAAAGCCATACATTTTTAAAGTTCAAAGTTCATAAGTCGATACAAACCAACTTAATGACTCTTCGTAATTTTTGTAGCTTGTCAGCCCACCAATCGTCTTAAAGTCATGCGGGTGTGGAAAGTCATGAGGGTGAGTAAATGATGACAATTTTAGTTTTGAGTGAGCTATTCTTTCAATACAAACAACAAAATGAATGACTTCATTTCAGCTGTCACGTCATCCAAAAACAATAATTTACAACAACACTATGTACAGAGAATTTTAAAATATTATAAAAAGTGTAACAGTCAAACATGCTATTCATATTTACCGTACCAATACATTATTTGCTTTACGTTCAATTGTTTTAATTGCAGAGGATGTGTTTGTTGTGTAAAAGTTAGCAGCATGTTGGCTCATCCTCTTGTTAAATCTTTGAAAAGATGCACCACTGGCCTGAACAACGCTGTGTGGCTTCACTCCATCCGAATCACCAACGGTCTGAAGAACGCTGTCTGTCTCCCCTCCACCAGAAGCACCATCAGCCTGAAGAAAGATGTCCGTCTCCCCTCCACCAGAAGCACCATCGGCCTGAAGAAAGATGTGTGGCTCCCCTCCATCTGAACATTTCTCCAAATTCACTGACCGCCACAATTTGGGGTGAAAACAGCAATAGTAGAGAACTTTTATCATTAAGCCCAAGACATAACAAAGTGGGATGGAGATAATCAGACTAATGGCGTACGACTGGGTCGTCTCTGCATCGCGGTAAAACCACCATGTGGCCAACAGGATGCCAGTGTCTGTGATGATAAATGTGTGGTAGATGCTACTCCTACTCCTGGTGTGTCCTTCAGCCACATTAAACCAGCTAAAGTACCAGATGAGACCTATGGTGGCCCGGTAGAGCCATTCCCCCCCTATGCTGTCCATGAAATTGGTGCCCTGCCTCCAGGCCCATATAACAAAGCAAGGCCACAAAAACAGGAAGTGAGCAACAATGTAGCAGGGCAACACAGAGGCAAAGAGAGCAATTGCAGCTACGCGTGGGCCAATAAGAAAGAGGTTCCAGAAGAAGTAGACCAGTGAGGACAACCAACCCTGCTTGTCCTTGTCAGGCAGAAATGAACGAAGCGACCGATGATAGTCCACCACCATCCAGGCTATGGAAGTAGTGGAGGCGACCACACTCACACCTGTGAAACAGAAACATCAGTGTCTTGTTCTTCCATTTACATCAGAGGTTTTCTACTGCTGGGTCATAGACAAAAAGAAAAAAACAATGCGAAATACATTTAATAAAATCTAACTAATATAATAGCAGTGTATTATTATTAACTAGAACCATTAAAAATGATTTTCATTAATTGAACTAAACCTGAAATAAAATAAAAATATTAGATGGAAAAACTTTAGCTTAAATTTTTAGTTTTGGGGAGGTGCACCAAATTACAAATTACAACCTGAAATAACCTTAACACTGTGTCTACAGCGGACGCATCATAAAGCAGGCTGTACACTGGACGTGACAAAGCGACCATTGCGAATCCACTTGTTCTTCCTGTCATAAGTAGCACGGGGAATCAGTTTACTGTCAGGGATTTGTCATGTCGCACCGCACCACATCCAGTGTAGACGGCATCACTGATTATAATGGGTTCTATTTGCTTTTGTCGCATCGCGCCGCTCACATCTAGTGTAGACAGTATAATAAATTGTAAATTGATGATATACAGCCTTAAGGGTCAACATGGATCCTCTCTAAGATATAATTTACGGTTTAATGTTTTTTTGTTTCTCCATGTTGGTCACACCACATTTGGTGGACAAAAAATATATTTACTAATACTTAAACTAAAAAATTATATTTTCAACCCAGCCCTAGAAACAGCTGACATATTTACCTTTTGTACCTTATCCAATTTGTGTGCACAAAATAGAAGCAGACACAGTCAAAATGTGCATTCTGACAAGCGCTAATGAAACGTCACTGTTTCGGTCAGTGATTTCTGCCCTCCAAAACCATTTCAGCCGAAACATTTTTTCTTTCAACTGATAAAAGTTGCCGAAATTTCAGTGCATCACTAATTAAAATGTTTTTCTAAAAAATAATAATAAAATAATCTGTCAAACTATTTAATAATAATGTCCGACAGATTCAAACATTTCATTCTTTTATTGAGGCTTTTTTCATTATGATATTAACATTTATATCACTGGGGCATTTTTTTATTTTATACATCCCCAACCCTACATACATAAGTAGGAAGTCTGGTACTGTATTTAATGTCCAATGTAACATCATTAACCTGTAGGGAGATCAGATTTCTGCATTTCCTCTTTAGGTCAATGCTCAAGTTTCTCAAATCAGACTGGATGAAAAAAATGTCAGCTTCAACTAAAAGGAAATTCTTTTTACCACAAACTGGCAAGAGGAAATCAAGCATAAATTAGAGGAAGTGTTGTTTGGAGGTTTTATTGTAAACTTACAGTATTAACTAATATTGGATGAATCGCACGCGGATGATCATCCCTCGAGCTGATTGGATGTCATAAGTTTTATAGAGAAGTGGTTATAAGCATCATTAGAGCAGAAGCGAAATGGTTACCCACATTGTACCATCCTTGCGTGGTTGTTGCGTAGCATGATGTACATCATGAGGGTGAGCTGGGGAGCGCTCTCGCAGAACGTCTCAATGAGACGCAGCATGCTGAGGTCATGGGTCAGATAAACTGCAAACTCAGACCCACACCCCCCTCGCGACCACACACGAAAGCCCTGCCAGATAGCTGATACGTGCCTATTGAAGAAAAAGAGAGTATATGAACTAAACATTATCAAAGTATGCTTAAAACGGAGATTAACAACTTTTTGTACATGACCATGTTTTTTGGACCATACAGTAACATTTTGTCTGACAAGAATCCAGCTGTCTATAATAGCTTGCCTTGGACTTTTACACTTACTTCCATTACTTCCAGTACATATTACACATCTCTGAAGATACAGCATCAACTACATTTAAATCCACACACACCATCAAGTGCTGAACTACTACCAAAGAAACTGAATGTCACACATGAACAGTAAGTCATTAATCAGTAATTCTGTCACACTGTCTTAAATGAGATGATCTGCCAGTGTGACATAAACAGAGCAACACAAGTATTAGGAAATCAGAGAAAATGTCAACGTGACTCTGCGATCACTTGGTTCTGGACGTGCTATGGTAATAGTTGTTTATTTGTTTTTACACTGTCCATTTTAGTATCATATTTATATCATATGGTATATGGTATAAAATTAATAAAAAAAATAGAATAAAATAAACATTTGGTATTAATAAATGAATAAATACACAGCACAGTACTATAGTGAGTAGAAAACATAAGCAGCTAAATATTTTCCAAAGAATACTTTACACATTATCTAATTTATTTTGCACTGTTTATACATAAAAAATTCTAACCTTGTTATAAAATTCTAAACCTGATCTAATACACCACTGGATTTTGGTAATGCCACAATGCGTTTTTGCTAGCAGATCAAGATCTAAGGGTTTACATTTAAGAATGTAAATCTTAGGTTTTTCATGTTTTGAATAAAAACTGTATTCAAAGGAAAGAAAGTCAACTCACTGACTACTAGATTACGGTATATAACAAAAGTTACTATACACCACAACTTAAGCTGTTGCATGCCGTTATCAAGATTGGAATGTGACAGATTTAACGATAGAAAAATGCACACATTTTACTTTAAATAAATAAATAAACATAAAAGCGTTTGCAAGGTTTTTATATCTTGTCAATAAGTCCTATTTTTTTTTTTTTTAAAGATGTATTTGTTTGTAACTTACGTTTTATTTAAAAGACTTGAAATAAATTGAAATGTGGAAAAAAAATCTGGAAATAAAAACAAAATTCTGCCATGTGTGGTATAACAAGCTCGTGATAGCACTGCAGTCTCACCTGATGAAGTAGCCCAGATGACACAAATGCAGGAGGAGCAACAATTTGACTCTTTTCGCTTCGCCGAAGAGAACGGTGTTCCCAGAGGACGCTTGAGACTCGAAGTCCTTCAAATGACGATCATACTTAAGCCAAAACCAGCTAAACAGCTGAACTACGACAGATGACATGAGCATGAAGCCCACCAAGACCCCGAACCACATGAAATCTCCATGTTTGTAGAACTCCTTCGCAACCCACAGATCCGAGCCCACGTCAAACAGAAATGTGCACACGCCGATCACAGTAAAAACAAAATCCAACCAGGAATACGTCGAGGGAAAAGTCGCGCTCTCCATGATGGGATGAACTTCAAAACAGAAGCAGCTGATTGAAGTTCAGCCACAACATGCATTTAGCCGTGAACCGTTAGCATATGTAGGGCTATAGGCAAACCACACAAAAGTTCCGCACCTTAAGTTAATTCTCATTATTCACGTAAACGAGAAATCGGCGAGCAAATACGTCTCCTCAGAGCCATTTCTACAGCAGCAGATAGACGATGACATTTTTGAACATAAAGTCATCCAAACTTCTACTGTCTGGCATAACTTAAGTCACGCCCACGTGACGTCACACTGCAACATACTTGGTGGTGAAAATGTCATTAATGGTAAAATGTTCATATATACGTAGATCAAATGTTTTTGCACAGAATTGGGTAGGCTACATTTGAAATAAATTAAATTTATTCAATGCTTGGAAATAATTATGTGGCAATTTAATTTCATGACTTTAATTCAGAAATGGCAAATAAAAAATATTGAAAATGCAATAATAATAATTATTATTATTAAATACAAGTCTGGATGTAGCAATTATTTTAGTAACGTGAAACTAGCTTCAAATGTTTTAATTAAATGTATATTTCTTTTTGACCACCAGAGAGCAGTGTTGTACTGTAGCCCTTCATAATTGACTGATCAACAACACAAAAAATAAATAAATAAGCAAGCGCATCAAGTTCATATATGCAACAATAAACTTTTTTTCAACATCAACATTTTAGGTTGATATTTATGTCTATGTATAAATAAAAGTGCACAGTACCGTCTCACAATTAATAGGAGGATATAAAAACATTGTAAATTGTTATACTATGTCTAATAATGTATAACAACTTCTTGATATTTCATGTGAAATATCCTTATTTATACACATGGGTCAATGACAACTAAGATGATAAAATTGAGAAATCATTTAAAAAAACAAGTTTAAAACATCTAAATAGAATGTTAAGTTCATGTTAATGTTGCTTTCATACACTTTTGAAAAATATTCATACCATTTGCCACAAAATCTTTCTAAAAAAGTCTTGGCGATAATCAATTGAATATACAAGTGTATATTATTATTATTATTATAATTATTTTTACAGATAGGCCCATCATCAATGTTTGGGTCATGAATAGGTTGAACTAATAATTAACGCCATTTTTCTTTGTAATTGATATATTTCAACTTCAAACTGCAACATTTAGGTGGAACGCCGAAGGTGGAAAACTGAAGGAGATGTGAATCTTTCATATTTCAGTACAGATACAAGATACAGTAATGAATATGAGGAATTGAGAAAATGTACTTTGATTCTTATGTGATGAAATAGCCGGGTAAATTTAGACTTCATAAGACCAGAAACAAGCATGATTTTCAAATTCAGTTAAGAAAAATTACATATTTGTAGGTTGTACACTTATTATGACTCATAATTAACAAACTTTTTTTTTGTTTGAAACAATAAACTGTTACACTTGGATTGTAGAATAAGCTCAGAATCTTTTCTGTGGATGTCTTCAGGTAAGAAAAAGTTAAAAAATGATGTTTTACTTTGGGTGCACTTCTAATTATCGTATCTGGTATCATTAGTAGGGGGAAATAGCCGTTTCTATGCCATTTCAAGTTTATTTCTTAATACTCTCATTGTAGAATATCTTTTAATCCAATCAGCTGCTATTAATCATGTTGTCATGACAAGAAATTGTGCTCGATGCTGCCCTCTGTTGTTTTCTCAGTAGAAATGACCGAACGACAATGAATTTTCAAATGATACATTTTAAAGTTCGTCGACCGCGGAGGTGTTACAATAAACTGCAACACTTGGGTTAACATAGGAGGAATGAGTTCTGAATCTTCCTTTTTATGATGTTCAGCTTCAGGTAAGAAAAAAATACCTTTTTATTGGTTGTACACTAAATAGGTCTCATAATTAACACTTTTTTTATATTGAAACAACAAACTGCAACGTTTGGATGAACATGGAATAAAATAATTGTAGGAGTTTGCACTGAACTGGTTTAGGGGGAAAAAACTCCTCCGGACTCGGAGCAGGTTATATGTTCAGAGAACAAGTTGCTATGGTTACTTGCATATCCTGAAAGCTACTTCAGTTTTCTGGAACCAAAAGTCGAAGTTATCAATTTACTTATCTGTGAACTTACCCAGGCATGTTGCATGACCACCATTCCAGGGTTCCCTGGCCTAAAGCACCTTGCAGATCTTAAAATAACCTTTTTCTTAATGTGAAGAACATTTTAATAAACCATTTGTGCAATGGAAAGGTTCCATGGATGTTAAAGTATCTCCATAGAAACCAATAAAGAACCTTTCTTTTTAAGACTGTATGACTTTAAGACCTTTATTTTACAGGTCACCCATGTAAAAAACAAAACAAATACAACATGAGTAGGAGAACATTTTCTGCGAGATCACTAGGTTACACTATTTCGATAGCCTGACTTCGTCATACTCATATTCTAGTCAGAATGTGAGTCTGATACTGCTTCATAGGGCTTTGATTATGAGGCGTGTCTTAACCGAACCAGGAAAAAAAAAAACTCTGCACTCAATTGGATAGACCTACAACCAATGAGAGCAACGCAGTAAGTCAACTACTTTGCATAGCACAGTTGTCAACTACAGAACTCAACTACACGCACGCTGGAAGAAGTAAAACAACGAGTGTTGCTTCTTTTACTTGGTCCTCTATGAGTGCTACCAAAGGAGAAACCACAACGACCACAGGGTTTTCATTGCGTCCCATCTTCTTAGTTACCATCGGAGACAGCTGATAAATTAAACTTTTGCCGAATCCCGTAGGAAGGACGGCAAACACATCTTTCCGATCGACAAATGCCTTGATTGCAGTTCTCTGTTCGTCTTTTAAAATGAATGCGCTGTCGATTTCTTTTACAACAGACGCGATAGCGGAATCTCTACATCTCAGTTCTCCAGCGGCAGTCATCTCCATGGCATACACAGTATAAGAAATGGACAGAGCCATCTCATTGGAACTCAGTTGAGACAGTTGAAGCCCATTTTAAGCGATTTCTGAGCACTTCCGTTCCTGACGCGCAGACTCAAACCGACTCAAACTAAGCTTGATGACGTGAGCAACCTTTCTGACAGACGTTACTCTTCTAGTAGCTGTGCGTGAAAATTGCCAACGTTAATCTTGCAGAGACGGGGAACTTGAGCAAAGATTTCTTTGGGGCGTGAGTGAGCAGGAGTAAGTATTCCATTGCTTTTATGGACTCATTATCTATGGGCTTCTCCCTTGACGGGACGTCCCCCCCGATCGCCTGCGAGCTTCTCCTCCTGTCTGTACGGTAATTTCTGTACAGCGCGACAGAGAGTCGAGTGGTTATGACGCAATCGTTAGCCTATTTTTACTAAAACTGTTTCTACGGGGCCATAATGTAACATAGAAGGTAATGGAGCACTTTATACATTGTCGTGTTTCTTTAGAAATAAATAATGGACAAATGGAGTCTTTAAACGCCTCAGATGTAAAGTTATTCGCTGTCAAAGTGACGCCAAAATGAACGGGAGTCAATGGAAATGCTAACGCAAGTGAAGTTCTGCTACAACATGGCGGCACCCGGCCGGCTTCAACTTCCGGTCGATGGATTACCCCCTTGGTCATCTTTGAGGGAAACCAGTTCAAACCAAGCGCTCTTTGATAACGTGATGATTACGTCCCTGCAGATCATCTGTCCATCATCGTATAAAGCCCGCCCTGGCAATTTGATTGGCCCGACGATTTCTGAACCGATCATAATTACTCCTCAATGGAGCGAGTCCAGACCGAACTTCCCAACCAAAAAATGTTGTGGGCGGGGTTCGGGCTGGCATCCAGGCTACTATTTCGATGGTCCACTATAGACATTCTACTAACTATAATTAACTTTGCAACTACATGTCAACTAACTATCATTAGAGTAATAGACTGGTACACTGTTCAGTTAGGTGTTAGGGTTCAGGTTAGAATAAGTTGACATGTAGTTGCAAGTTACTTATAGTGACTAGAATGTTGGAGGAGCATCAAAATAAAATTAACAGATATTAAGCAGACAGTCTACTAATAATCTGATGAGAGTTAGTTGACATGTAGTTGCAAAGTTACTCACAGTTAGTAGAATGTATAAAGTGGACAATCAGAATAAAGTGTTACCCATCACTATTTAATCAAAAAGATCTGAGTCTTTGCCCTGCAGAGGGCAGTATGGCTATATTTTGACGGGCAGTGAACTTGTTACACATTATGAGGTCACCTCATGACAAAACACTCCCAGTCCTTATTCATGATTGCAACAGCCTTTATTTGTATTATGCAGCTGGAGGTGTGTTCTTAAAAAACAGAGAAAAACAACTTTAAACCACTGTCTTGTCTGGTAATTCATTTATATAGGGTCGTTTTTACCATCTGATCTCTGTTGAACTGAATGGACAAGTATCATAGACAGACCGCTTCCAGGGAGCCCTGAAGTCCTAACACAGTAAAATTACTCCAACAAACACAAGGTTTGATTTTAAGCACATAAACACGCATAAGCATTTTCGCAGTTAAATTCATTGACCTTCGCATGTAGCTTTCAGAAACCTTTAAGTGTCTGGCACTGACCCTAATAGAAATAGCAAAGAGCTGCTTTATGAAACAGAAATATCTTTCACATAAGCCCTTCATTAGTCCACTTTAACCGTTGTTTGCTCATAAAACAAAAGCATCATGGAAAAGGTCACCAGTAAAAAGATTTGTGCTGAAAACTGAAAGTGTTAAAGGAACCATAGTCGTCTAAAAATTGGACTCCTGGCAGAGAAGAGAAGGAAAGCTGTAGAAAGAAAAATTAGTAGAGAGTAAGAAAGCACAAATTTTGTCCATGATTCACATTATCACACCGCCTGGCTCTTTCAGACAGTCACGATCATTTGAGGCATGATTAGGGTGTCAGTCCTGGTGCAGGGTCAAAGGTCAGAGGTTGCCTTCACCATATCTCATTAACCTCAGAGATGCGCAGCCTTTCAGACCTCTGAGTCGTAAGTCTTGGAAAAGCCATGGCAGTATCCACACCACAATCAGAGTGAGGAGGATTTTAGGCACCAGCGGGGTTTTCATCCATATTTGTATAGCAAATCAGCAAAAGTGCATCAGTTGTGGCCCAGTCCATCCGGTTCAGCTCGGTTCAGAACAGTAGGGTGAGGGTGCAGTCACATGATGCAGCACTTGTTCTTGAAAATGTGCGGGTGCTTATAGCGCAGTCTCTGTTTTGGCCGATATTTCTCTAGATATGTCAACTGCTTGCTGTTTATTGCACCTCTGCGCTTCCTGTGAAGGCAAAAAATGTCCATTAGCATGTTAATTTACAATTTCATCGCGTTACAATTAAATGACTTCTTTCAAGAAAGATGGCAGATAAAAATGGCTTGCAAACTCATGTTTCACTCCAGCCCACATTGGACTGAAAATAGCATTGAAAACACAAGGAACAGTACCTGAGGGAGCAGAGCTTAAAAAAGGATCAATTGCGAATCTTTTGCGTATTGAAAGCTTTAAGCTTGGCCTTGCTATCAAAAGGCACTCTGGCAAGCGTAGCAACTAAGAACTAGCTTTTATGATCCACTTGTATGTATATAGCAGTTGACGTCAAGAGCTCAAGGTCTGTTGTCCTTGAAAGAAGTCAAGAGAGAGATGTACGTACTGTCTGATGAACTGGATGGCATCTTCATACTTCATCCCACTTTCAATCAGTGCCACAGCCACAAGTACTGGAGCTCTAAAGAAAAAAAAAAACATTGAGATATGGGACATTGATTACTTTTTTCGTTTTTCAATGTTTACTTAAATACTGCAGAACTTCAAGGACTGAATTCTTAATTTGTATCTTTGTTCTATTTGTTATTTGTCTATCACTTGTAATCTGCTAAGTTTTTTATGCTTTATTTTATTACTGACATTTTACTTGAATAATTACTTGAAAACAACATACAACAAAACCTGCATTGTTTCACAGGTAGTAGATTTGACTACTAAAATGTTGGTGTCGTAACCACTCTAACACACACACACACACACACACACACACAACTTTAATGGCTCATTAGAGCAGCTCAATTGTTCCATGAGATGTTTCTTAGATAGAAATGACTGTAGCTGTACAGTGCAAAACAGATGGAGCAATGCCACATTAAATGCAGTGGAAAAGAGGCATTACAAGAAGTTAATTCATCATACATAAATTCATGTTTCACAATCCTCAAAGTCAAGATTCAGGCAAAGCAAAAAAAACAACTTCCAGAAAAGGTGAGTGGTGGAAAACAAAGGTTAATGCTGTTGCTAGGTGTTCTGGATGGTTGCTAGGTGGATACCTAATGGCCCAAGTCATATGCAAAGACCAGAATATCGCAGAGACTTGGGGGTGGGTTTCTTTTTATATCACTCGGGTCCCCTCTTTAATGTCTATGCAATCTTTCCACTCTCTTTATCGCCTGCGAAGCGGAAAATGTTAAATCTGATCTCTTTCAAAAGTAACAGCACACTTCTCCTTAACAAGCAGCGACTGAGGTATAATTCATGCCTGCAGGGACAGCAAAGAAAAGTTTAATACTTAACCCTCAATGCTTCACATTCAAACATACACTGTACAGTAAAGACAATTAAATCTTACGCCATAAACCCCAGTTCTAAACAGTGTTGCCATCTGAAAATGAACGAGTCAGGCCAAAAAAAAACATTGGCACTCTTTCAAGATTCGAGGCAGATTCCCTTTGGAAGTGGATGAAGTGCGTCAGAGATGGAGTTTTACTGAGAGCAGCGAGGCCAGACTACCTCCTCCTCCTCTTAACGTCACTTGCTGTTTTATAGCCGTCGTTTGGGGTGTTTTGTTGCACTGTACGTGTACCAACAGAGAGCATAAATACATCATCTGTAGGAGATACTTATGAGACACATACTGTTCAATGTTTATAACTGCAATAGTTTCATGGTAACAACAATATTGCACAACATAATGCACTACGTACCTATAGTACACATACTGTATGTACCCATTAAACTTCTATGGTCAAACACAGCTAAGGGAGTTCCCATTCATAAGCAAAATTCATCCAAAAGGTAACTGGGAGCATCAGTCATGTGGGATAGACTGTCTGGCATAAAGGTTATGGACGGAGCACACGTTTGAGGAGGACAGTAATAACAAATGGATAAAAAGCAACTTCCTGTTTTGTCTTCGGCCCTAACCCCAATGCCTCTTAAAACAGAGAGGGACTGCAGCAGAGTCAGTGCACTTTGGGGACTGTTGACTTTGGCGGAGCACTCTGTCCACTTTAAAGCCTCCGAAGAGGTACCTCTCGCTCGCAATGTACGTAGTATGGTTTCAGTCCATTGGGAACTATCAACTTCATCTAGAGTTAATAGAGGAGACATGTCTCCTGGGAGACCAGAGGTGCATAATGTCCTATAGGGCACACAGTACACATTCCTTTCCAGATTAAGGTCTAGAACAGGGCACACAAGGTGGGCTTACTTATGGGACACCAGACGAGAAATGAACCCATTTGCCCCCAGAGTTCCCAGGCCTGAGCAAAACCCAGCTAGTCAGCAAGTTAAAGTGTCATGAAGCCTCGTTGCGTCGTTCCGCACAGAAATATACACTGCACGTGTCCAAACGCAAAACTGAACAGGCAGATGAGAACGAACAGTGCTGAAGTGGTCTTTCGTGACATTTGAATTCTCTGCTTTACTGAGATCTCATGCGTAATAAATACAGCGCAGTGATTGGGTTAAAAGAGTTAATTCTCATGAATAATGTAGAGAAATGCTCAGAAACTGCTGACGTAATTTCGTATTGACCAGCCACAGCAGCCAATCACCACTGATAAAATTATACTCACTTTTCGTGACGCTGGTTCAACTTTGCTTTTTAAATCGGAAGAACGAAATAGCTCAGAATAAATAAAAAATGGCCACTTTTCACCTTATAATAAACATACCGAGTGCTATTGTTGTTTTCAGTAACGTGTAACCTGTACATATGTTAATATCTCAAAAACTGTGTTTTAGGGTTTCATGACCCTTTAAAAATATGTTTAAATCTTTATTCGATTCTCTATCTGTAAGGACATTTACTGACCTTCCTAAACCGGCCACGCAGTGCACAGCCACGCAGCAACCGGGGTCATCTATGAAGCGTCTCTTCAGGAGACTCAACCAGTCCTCCACAACCTTAGTGGGAGGAGGAGCGCCGTCATCAAATGGCCAGTCCTAAGGAGAGAAGAACAAGCTACCCCTTAACATGAGCACATTAGTCTGTTCACACTGAAAAACAAGCTTTGACTTTGAAACAATCCATTATCTCGGACTTCACGTGATAAACTATGTTCAAATTTGTTGCATCTAACTGTTGCTTTTAGTCATGTTGCCTCAAGTTGGTGATAATGAATAACATCCAACTTAAATGCATGAATGTTATTGCATGATACAACTAAATATCAAACCAAGGGGCATTTATTTGAATAAATAAATAATTTCATAATAATTAAATAATATATATATATATAGTACAAACACTTCTAAAGCAAAATATTTTCCAAAAATAACTTTAAAATTAAAGTTCTGAAACACTTTGTGGTTGTCCAACTGTAGTGTTTCGTTCAAAGTTAATGTGATGAACTATACCTGTGGTTACTGCGAGTGGACACCCGTGTGAATTGCAAAAATGGTTCAGAAAGGGAAGCAAGTTCTGAGAAGAGCTAGTGCAGCATTTGTTTACAGATGCCACCAGGTTTGCATTTAATGCAAATACTTTTTTTTTTTTTTTAAATGTGACTTAAGTGTCCAAATAATGGCTGGGGCCACTGCATCAGTTTTCTGCTGGCTTTTGCTAAATGTTTCTACACCTGGTTTATTTGTGAAAGTGGGTTATCCAAATGGTGAAGGTGTTGGGGGTGGTTAGACCTGCAACAGTACTGGGTTAGTGAGGATCATTCGGAAATAAACATCCATGGGTGCATATCCCATACAAAGACGTAACTGGCTGCTGAAGTAATTTAGTCACAACTGTTTTTCTAAAACCATAGTAACTTTGACGCACATCAGTTGTTCAAGCAAAGTTGGTTCAACAATATAAAACTATTGCTAATGATGTCTTCACGCAGGTGGAGTAATAACTTCTGCTAATTAATCGGTTCAAGGTCAGATTATTGCTGTCCGAGGACTACTTTGCTTTTTTGTTCTCTGTTGTTATGTTGTATTTTCAGATGTTTGACTCAATCATGGGTTCCTTATTTCAAAGGTATTAAAGCTCGTTCGAGACTTCAAATATGGCGGTTTCTGAGGTGAATATATCCATTGTGTTCGTGGTAACAAGAAGTTATCGCATTCACATCTGTCAACTGTCATCAGACAAAAAATAAATCAGATTGGGTTATATTTAACTCATGTATGTACACTGATACTTTTTTTGGATTTCTTTGCATTGTATTTTATGTCGCATATTTATTCATCTTGATTTCTCACAACTTGTGTGATTTTTCCGGGAGAGACGTGAAGTGTGGAGTCTCAAGAATACACACATCGTGTAGCCATGCACAGATGACCAACGGCCAAGGTCAAGATTTTTGTTAAATAATAGGCCAACATTAAATTTCAGTTTGTTAAAAACCTTATTTTATACCCCCAGAACACATGGAATATACAAAATGTGTCACATGGCATCATTCTGTGATACTTTTGCATCTTTTTAAAAAAAAAAGCTTGATGCTGGTCGCTATTCACTTCCATTATATGGATGAGCACAAATGGGAATTTTGTGAAAATGAACCTTTTGTGGTCGAAAAAAGAAAGAAGTGCATACGGCATTAGAACAAAACCAGGGTGAGTAAATTATGACTATTTTCTTTTTAGTGTGAACTATCCCTTTAAGTCCACGTTGTTCAAACTAAAAAAATCGAGAGCCATAGTTTTTTAACCCCACAACATCGTGATGCTGTTTGCAAATGTTCATTTGAACAATATTATAGGAAACACCAAATTGTTTGGAATGGTGGAATATGTGAACAGTTGGCTAGCAATGCTTTTGGGAAACCAATTCCAGAACAAAAAATACAGACTCTGAGAGCACTGGTAAACACATTTATGAAGCCAAGGAGTCTCCTATCAACTGAGATTGTTGGGTTTTTGGGACTTGTACAATATGGTTTGAGACTTTCAGACAATAAACCCTTCAGCTTACTAACAAATGTGTAAGTTCAGGGTTTGATATAAAAATTTGTGATGCCACTAAAGTGGTGATGTACTGTCATCTATCAATCCCTGCTACTGTTCAGGTGGTTTGTAAAAGCGGTGCATGCTTATGTGCCATTAAGGCAAAGCGCGAGGCCCGAGAGGCACGTGGAACACGACATAAATTTAGCATATGTGTGTATCTTTCCTGTGCTCTTTTGACCTCAAGGTGAGAGGTGAATCACAATCATGCTTCACAGGAGATCGGGAAAATCCCACCCCTCCTCTTCCGTTTTCCCGCCTAAACCACCGCTGGGGGACTTTGATGTGGTTCAGCTGCTGAGGGACGTGGCTCACTTAGACCAGCACGCTAACTGGCATGTCTTCACAGGCGCAGATGCCCACACAAACACGTACTCATGTGATCCAGAGAGGCTTGGCAGGGCAGGCCTTAATTATAAAAAGCTTTCTCACAGTACAGACACATAAGTCGGCATTCAGATGCCTCAAAATATCGCTTATCACATGGGACCGACGAGTGATATGCAGTCACACAACAGCCCCAGGGACAGGACGCTCAACACTAGCAGGTGCGAGTCTTTTCAAGTAAACAAGTCAGACCAGCAAGGCCTTTAGGAGGTTGGCTTTACAGAAAAGCCTTTGAAGCATGAATGACGCGCGACAAACGCTTCCTCTACTTCCCTCCAGCCCATCCTATTGATTTCCTGGGCAAACACACCTCAGAAACCTTTCGGGAGCGGATGGAAGGCCACTGACGTAATGCAGGTTGGGTAAACAATCGTGGCCTACTTTTCGAATCCAGAATTAGGTAGCGGGGTCACTTGCTCAAGCCTGCAGTCTCGCAGATCTCTTTACAGTTGTTCTGAGTGAGAAGGGTGTGGAATGGCACGTGTGTGCCTCCCAGGAGAACACAGTTTACTCCCTTGTTGCAGGTGTTCGCACAAATACACGAGGCGAACAACATAGTTGATTGTTCCCACTGGGATTTTGTGCTTCGCAAAGTTTCTCAGCAGCTTGTGCTGCGGACATAAACAAACATACGTCTTAGACTGTGTATGACACCAACGCAAGCCACTAATGTCCAATGCGTCACATGTAGCAGTCTTTTGAATGCGTCTTGAAACAGAAGTCTTTTTCACTGCAGGTGATCAACCTCTCTTGAAAATATAAAATACATAAAAAAACGTCATATTTGTGTGAATTTTCAGGTTTGGCTAATGTTTGCGGAAAGAAAGAGGTGTATCCAGCAGCCAGCGTGTCCTTAATATTCACAGAAGTCAGTAAAAACAAGACTTATACAACAGTTAGCCTTGGGCTCTCTTTTCTTTACAGTTTTGCTGTGAGAAAGTCAAGAAGAAAAAGTATAAAAGAAAGGTTGGGTGGTGGGGGAAGGTGGGCGGGGACCGATCGGAGGCCACACGGAGAGACCAGGCTCTGCCGCTACCATAGCAACAGTGAAACGTTGACGTCGGTAATAAGAAACACGTGTGGCTGCTTGGAAGAGAACATTCTCTATAATGAATTTAGTGTGTGTGTGTGTGTGTGTTAGAAAGAGCGAACGAGTATACGAGGGTCAAGGGGGTCTGTGGGGAGCTGTTTCACTTTTCACTTCTAACGCAGAACACTTTCAATAACTGCCTACGTGCACTAGAAGCTCTTACCTCTCCATCGTTTTCACCATCTGGCCCTTTAAATGTGAAATAAACTATTTATTTACACAGCTCTAGAATAGTTGTTTCTGATTGGGTGATGGTTGCATTCTGGGGTCAAATATTTTTGCATATTGACCACTAAACTGTATATCCAAATATTGTCCTGGATAATCCATTTTCTAATAGCAGTCCTAGTTTCATGTCACTCATATCACTCTGCTGTCTTTTTTTTTTTATATGATAAAATTATTTCAAATCGAACCAATATTTTATGTCCATTTATGGACTATCTGGTAAGTAGCGATGAATACTGCAAAAATGGCTTCTTCGTGAATTTATAATTACTCTTTTGTTTATGGTTTTCCATTTAAAATATCTAAAAATCCTTGAAACAAAACAAATTTACTTGAGAAGTAACACTGCATACGATTTAAAGACTTCACATTTTGCATAATCTTTTTTTTTCTTGTTTTAACTTAAAAAATCTGCCAGTGCAATATAACAAAATACTTGTATTTAAGATTCTTTAACAAGAATGCCAATAAGTCTTACACTGTCTAAACCAGCCTTTCTCAAACTTTTTTCAGTCGGGGCACCTTTCAAAAGTGCATAAAATCTCAAGGCACCCCAGTGTAAAATATAAATTAAAAACACTGCATAACCCAAATGTAAATGCAAATGTCCTGTTTATTTAGACAGAACAGTAATGAACAGAGCATAATACGAACTGTAAATAACAATAACAATAACAATGATAATAACAACTTTACAGGGCTATCACTTTTGTGAAAAAATCCTGATCGATTTTTGAGACATAAACGTTCATTGAATCGATTGTAAAATCGATTTTCCATGTCTAAAGACGTTTCCATTTTCAGCGCCAAATATAGGCAAATCCACGGACAACTAACAGGCATTAGCACGAGCGTAAAGAGTGCGCTTGAGACGCGCACAAGTCAGCAATATTTCTGATGATTTATTGGCATGAAGTTTCGTGCACAATGACAAACAGGAGTGCAAGATTCTCGAAAAACAATAAGCAGAGTGGACTGCCATAACATCAATGAAAAACATTACTGCAGGCTTCAACATGGCTGTGTTTACGATTAGAAATGTCAAACAAATTTCGCCTACGTAGGCGATTGTAGGCCGGATCTGTATCTGTATGCATGGGACTGTCTGAATATCGGCAGAATTCACATTTTTGTTGTAAAAAGAGACACATTATGCAGAAGTATAGTATAGTTTGTATGTGTGTTTGTCATAGCCTGCAGTTGCTGTGTGACGCGCGTTCGCGCGGTCGGTGTTGTTGCTATAACGCGGTGCTATGGGTTGCGTCACTTGCGTCAAGTTGTGTGTGTGTCTTGCTTCTGTCTTGTGAGACAGATTTTTATGGTTAATTTTATATATATATATTTATCTAAAATGAATTTACAATTGTATTAATACGTTCATATGTTTAAAAAGAAGAAGAATGTATTTATATAAATTCATATATATATATATATATATATATATATATATTTAGCCTACGTAATTTTTTGGCGGCACCCCTGACAAAGTCAGGGGGCACCCCAGTGTGCCGCGGCACCCACTTTGAGAAAGGCTGGTCTAAACTGTCTTATGCAGTTTCTCTTCTCAAGCATCCAGTTGGTGATCTGATCTTGTTTTAAGGATTTTTAGATATTATAACAGGACAATTAAGACAAAAATACTTAAAGGTCCCGTTCTTCGCGATTCCATTTTTCAAACTTTAATTAGTGTGTAATGTTGCTGTTAGAGCATAAATAATACCTGTAAAATTATAAAGCTCAATGTTCAATGCCTAGCGAGATATTTTATTTAACAGAAGTCCCCTTTCAAAGCATACAGCGAACGGCCGGTTTGGACTACATCCCTCTACTTCCTTTTTTAATGACGTAACTAGAACAGTTTTTTGACTAATCTCCACCCACAGGAATACACAAAAAAAGGGGGCGTGGTCTTGTTGCGCTTCCACGGAGAAGAAGCACTTCAGCTGCGCATGCATCTCCAATTTATGGTAAGAGGCGTGACCTTTCTGGGCAACGTGCGATAAGCTGCTGTCGAATCACAACACAGGAACCCCTGGCACAATCAGAACTCGTTACGTATTTCTGAAGGAGGGACTTCATAGAACAAGGAAGTCATCAGGCCGTTTTTTGGACAGTGAAAACAGCGGTATACAGATAAGTAAATTGTGTGAAAAATACTGTTTTTTTTACACGCGAAACATGAACACATGTTATATTGCACACTGTAAACACAATCAAAGCTTCAAAAAAACATGAAGAACGGGACCTTTAAGAACACTTTTACTGTGCATTCAGTGAGATATCCTCTAGTCAGACAGTCAACATCGCAAAATAAACCCCTTCAGGATGACAGAAGACCCTTCATGTCGGGGTTCTGATCACCCAGTTGTTGTTTTTTTGTAATGTCCAGCTGATAGTACATTATGGCTTACAAGGGCATCAAGAAGATGTGCACTTACCACGACAGTTATCCCATCCTTCTCCAGTGGAGATTTGTCATAGGTTATCTCGCAAACTCTGACCACCGTTGTGGCACCATACTTCTTAAGATCCTAAAGTGTGATGGGAATAGAAATACAGATGATAAAAAAAAAACTCAATTGAGTAAAAAAAAAAAAAAGCTAAAAAAATATATCACCATTAGTTCTGACAACATTAAAATACAAACAATCATTTTAATGGCGTGAGAGGTAAGGTAAGCTGTTTATGAACACACTCTGTTCCTCATCCCTGCCATGTGATGGAACACTGGGATGGGTTTCCATGGAAACGGAGGCTTTGTGGATGTGCTGTTATCATTAGAGCCTCTATGGTTCATGCACACTTTCCCAGCAAGATAAGAATGAGTGGGCCATGTGACAGTGGAGTTGTCTTAAGATAGACGGAGCCGAAACGGGACGTGTTGCTAAAATGAGTACGTGTTCAAGAGAGGGATAAAAGTAGAAGCGGAGGGTGGGAGGAAACAGACGACAAATACATGCAGAGAGGGGACACACGGGGTAAGATGGTGTACAAATGCTCACCTCTATGAAGCTGCTCAGAGTGGAGTTTGTTGGGTTGTGAGTGATTAAGAACCTCATGTTCTTGTAGCACACCTCCACAGGGGCCGGCCGGTTCATCCGAGCCATTGTGCTTCCTCCAACTCAGTGTCCAAACCGTTCACAAGCAAATTCACCAAAAGGACGCTCTTCACGTTTTGTTCAGCCTCTGATCTTGCTTCGTGAATAAAACACTGCAAAACTCTTCGATGTTCAAAGTTCCCAATATCTTGTTTTCCCTCTCTAATGGCTTGCCGTAGCCAAAGAGGTAAGATCACCCCATTAGATTTGAGAGGAGTTTTGGGTTGCAGGACCACAAGTAGTAGAGGGAAGAGCGTCTCAGTGCATCCAGAAATCAGTGAAAAGAGCGCAACACATTCTCCCAGGGTTTAGACGTGTAGATGTTGAGCGTGGCAGTAGTCTCCAGTCCTCTGCAAGAACGCCATGGACAAAGCCACTACTGAAGGACAGTGCTGTTGGAAAGAGAATCAGAAAAAGAGATAAGTGAGTTTTCTTCTGTGACATAACCTAACACGCAGGACCAGGGCAGTCCGTTGAAGACAAACATGACGCACACATGACAGCGCAGCTCACGTTAACTATGAGTGTGTGACCGGAGATTACATACAGTGTCCCCGAACCCACCCACACACAATCCCACTCACACACAAGCACTCAAAACATTGCGCAACATGGAGGCTGATAGGGACTTGAGGTTTTACAGAAAGCAGATAATAAGAGTAAATACTTTTCCCAGGCTTTTTCCTTTTTTTTTCCCAACTTTTTTTTTAGGTACAAAACCTTTTTTGTTTACATTATTCCTTTTTGAAAAAGTGCTTTTAAATACATTTAATAAATGCACTGCCTCTTTAAATGTTATATAGATTTTTTATCTTAGTAGGCAAAATTTTGTTACAAGCAATCACTCTAATTAGCATTGAAACAAATTTGTAGAGCAGTGAAAGATTTTCACTGAAGAACAAATTTAAGGTATACAAAAATCACATCTGAATGCAGCATTTCAGATCAAAAAGTGTGTTACTTACCTGCGCTATGTCTCTTAATAATATTTTTAGCGTTATTGATTACAATTCAAACTGGTCAGATGCACAGGCAAACTGTGAGAAATTCTGATGTATGAATGCTGCTCTCTTGCGCTCTACAGTTTTACTGTGCGCTCCCCGCAGACCTGCGTCTGCAGGGACTTACACGAGTGTCTTCAGCAGTGGCATCTACAGCAGTTAAAGGTACAGAGACAAGTTTTCAGATTTGGCCGAAACTGGTTTGGAGTGCCGAAATCACTGACTGTTCAGACTAAAGTGGAAAAACTTTGTTTCTAACACCTACTGTACATGTCCCACAGAAGAAAACAATTAAAACTAAATTTACATTATTTCTAAAAGGCATTTAACACAGAATCCTTAAAGAGTATATATTTATTTTTACACATTTGTTTACACTAACACAGTTTTACATTTTAGACTGGACTAACACATACCAGCCTAGAAAAGATATCTAGATTACGGTTGAAAATATTCTGATTCTTAGTACATAAAGCTGTGTTGTTTTGCATTTTAATCTATTTAAAACATTGGTTTACTTCATAAATTTCAAGTGTATCACTTCACTTTATTGTAGGTTATTGAAAAAAGTGATTAAACTTACCATTAAAAGTACAATATTGAATACAATACTGTTTATTTATCTTTTAAATAAATTCAGCATTGTGATAATACTATGAAATGAAAATTGCATACTGTCACGGCTACTTGTTGTCACTGGAAAAAATTGTGAAGACTCAATGTTTCTTATGTGTTTTTTGTATGTGTGTGTGTGTGTGTTGATTTTGGCATTAAGCAGTATTCAATATTAAGCCATATCAATAGCCAACTTTTTTTAACGTTTACTTAACATTTATTCAAAAGTACAATGGCAAAATTTCAATAATAATAATAATAAAAAAAAGAATGAATATAGTAAAAGATGGGCATCTGAGTTTTGTGCTCCTGCAGTATTGAGTAAATAAAATCAGGCACATAAAGACTTCATTTGGAAAGTTGTATTAAGCCAATAATTGCAATCCTAATTCGCCGTTTACGGCTGGTAATTAATTAAAACTTTAATACTAAGGCTTAACCTTATTTGCCATTTCCTCTCCTGAAAATAAACATACTTTTTCTAAACGTAATCCACACTTCCAAAATTCCAAGTTGCTTAGACCCAAACTAATAATTTCATTCACTAAGTGAAGCAACAAAAAGAACAAAACAATAACAACCAAACAACAATGACATATTTAATGTGGTTAATAAAAGCCTACTTTTGAACAACTTCACTGAGGAACAAAATAGAGGCTGTGCATGATGGTTAATATACACTGGATTTTTCACTATATTAATTTGTGTTTGCAAAGGCAAGCGCTACAAATTATTTTGCGCTTTTGTTAATATAACTTGTGGGTGGGCTCTTTTGACTTTAATTATACATAACTACCTAGCAATGACCCAAAACACCCTAGCAACCACATAGGAAAGCCCTGGAAACCATCCAGAAAACCTTAGCAAAGACAGAAAACCACAACTAACACTTTTGTCATAAAAAGTACAAATGCAATTATATACAATAATTGTATATCATAATATAATAATGAAATGATAACATTGTAACTATAAATTTAAACAATATACAATTAAAATAAATATTTTAATACAAATGTTTACTTAGTTTGGAAAATGTTACTGTCATTATTTCTTGCTTTTAAAAATGTAATTTCATATAATAAAATATGCTGATATACTTTGACTGGTTGGTGTTGCCACGGCAGTCTATTTTAATGACGAGTAACAAATTACCTATATTAGGTTTTTAAATTTTGCTTTAGAAAAAAACTCTAAAATGGTATCAGGTTTGACTGTAAAATTTCTTCTAAAGTGTTTGTGTGGTAACAAAACCAGCACAAATTAATACAATAATATGTTTAAGAGACTCTGCACTCTAGCACGAGGAGAACAACAGTGGATCTTCATTTGATATTAAGAACTTTGTGTGTGTGTGTGATTCTGGAATGTCCTATTCAGCATCATGTACAGTGGGGAGAACAAGTATTTGATACACTGCCGATTTTGCAGGTTTTCCCACTTACATAGCACGCAGAAGTCTAATTTTTATCATAGTTAATCTTCAATTGTGAGTGACGGAATCAAACAAAAATCCAGAAAATCACATTGTATGATTTTTTAAGTAATTCATTAGCATTTTATTGCATGACATAAGTATTTGATCACCTACCAACCAGTAAGAATTCCCGCTCTCACAGACCTGTTAGTCTCTCTTTAAGAAGCCCTCCTGTTCTCCACTCATTACCTGTATTAACTGCACCTGTTTGAACCCGTTGCCTGTATAAAAGACACCTGTCCACACACACTCAATCAAACAGACTCCAACCTCTCCACAATGTGTGCTGAGCTGTGTAAGGACATTAGGGATAGAATTGTAGACCTGTACAAGGCTGGGATGGGCTACAGGACAATAGGCAAGCAGCTTGGTGAGAAGGCAACAACAGTTGGCACAATAATTAGAAAATGGAAGAAGTTCAAGATGACGGTCAATCTCCCTCGGTCTGGGGCTCCATGCAAGATCTCACCTCGTGGGGCATCAATGATCATGAGGAAGGTGAGGGATCAGCCCAGAACTACACAACAGGACCTGGCCAATGACCTGAAGAGAGCTGGGACCACAGTCTCAAAGAAAACCATTAGTAACACACTACGCCGTCAAGGATTAAAATCCTGCAGCGCACGCAAGGTCCCCCTGCTCAAGCCAGCGCATGTCCAGGCCTGTCTGAAGTTTGCCAATGACCATCTGGATGATCCAGAGGAGGAATGGGAGAATGTCATGTGGTCTGATGAGACAAAAATAGAGCTTTTTGGTCTAAACTCCACTAGCCGTGTTTGGAGGAAGAAGAAGGATGAGTACAACCCCAAGAACACCATCCCAACCGTAAAGCATGGAGGTGGAAACATCATTATTTGGGGATGTTTTTCTGGGGGACAGGTAGACTGCACCGTATTGAGGGGAGGATGGATGGGGCCATGTATCGCGAGATCTTGGCCAACAACCTCCTTCCCTCAGTAAGAGCATTGAAGATGCGTCGTGGCTGGGTCTTCCAGCATGACAACGACCCAAAACACACAGCCAGGGCAACTAAGGAGTGTCTCCGTAAGAAGCATCTCAAGGTCCTGGAGTGGCCTAGCCAGTCTCCAGACCTGAACCCAATAGAAAATCTTTGGAGGGAGCTGAAAGTCCGTATTGCCCAGAGACAGCCCCGAAACCTGAAGGATCTGGAGAAGTTCTGTATGGAGGAGTGTGCCAAAATCCCTGCTGCAGTGTGTGCAAACCTGGTCAAGAACTACAGGAAACTTATGATCTCTGTAATTGCAAACAAAGGTTTTTGTACCAAATATTAAGGTCTGTTTTCTGATGTATCAAATGTTATGGCATGCAATAACATGCAAATGAATTACTTAAAAATAATACAATGTGATTTTCTAGATTTTTGTTTTAGATTCCGTCACTCACAGTTGAAGAGTACCTATGATAAAAATTACAGACTTCTACATGCTTTGTAAGTGGGAAAACCTGCAAAATTGGTAGTGAATCAAATACTTGTTCTCCCCACTGTATGCTCTGATCCCAGTGACTATTGAAAATAAAGACAACTTTTACCCACAGTAGGGTTAATTTCAAACAGTTTGTTGCTTGTACACTGATCCCATTTAAAATTAAAGATGGGTTTCTTGGGATTCCACAGTGTCCAGGTACCCAACAAAAATAGATAAAGTTCTGTGTTTCTAGTTCCGACCACATGGAAAAGATTTCTCTGAGCTGAATATAAATCTACGTCTGTGTGAAGCAATGAGCTATGAACTTCAACTGTTGAACAAAGATCAGCATGTAAAACAAACAGAGAGAAGAATACTCCTGACTCCAAGTCCACCGGGGGTCCGACCCTGAGGTACTGTACTCGTTTACTCCATGCAGAGTAAGGTTAATTGTGTGGTTCTGAGCTATGTCAATAGCACACAGGGGTCACACACATCAACCGAAACACACAGAGAGAATTGTGAAGATCAGTAATAATAATGAGTTACATTTATATAGTGCTTTTCTGGGTACGCAAAGCGCTTTACATGGAAGGGGGAATATCCTCAACCACCAGTAAACAATTGCTGTCGAGGTAACAGCACCACCAGCATTTACTAGTAAACCCGCAGAAGTACCATTAACTTCATCTCTGAGGGTAACCATGACAGTGTTGTGATTGTCTTCACAGACCAATTACCAGCCCTTGTCCCTTAAGACTGCAATACTGGTTAAATATTTGTGCTGACAATTTAAAGTGCTGCTGTGGGCGTCTGGGACCTTTGTGTAGTGGCACTAACAAATAATCTATGGGAAAACAGGATGGGGAATA